GTGCTGTCGGGAGGGGACGTGCCTCCCCCTCCAGTCCCAGCTGGGCATGGCCAGCCCCGGTGCGGCCGGGAGCAGCCGGCCAGGCTGTGCCCAGACGGAGGGGTGCCTGAGGTAGCCCCAGACGCCTGCACCCCAATAACACTCTGGGCAGGAGGCCAGGCCAGCCAAGGGAGGAGGTTTGCAATAGCCTTACTCTAGGCAGGGGCTACTTCCCTCCTGGTGGTCCAGCCTTGGCTCCTCCCAAGAGCCCTGTGGGGTGCCAGGGGGTGCGGGGGGCAGAGCTGGAGCTGGGGTGCCCGGGAGAGCCCCCTCCCCCAGCTGCCAACCCCCCACCTCATTCCCTACCCAGCGCCGTGAGAGGCTCCAGCTCCGGTCTCCTTTCCCTATCGCATCCCCGATGCCAATGGTCTGCAGGGCCGTGCCAGCCACGCACACAGCGGGGCCGGGGAGGCCTCCATCAGCGGGGCAGGACTCAGGCTCTGCGTGCCCAGACCCGGGGCATCCCTGGGGACACCCACGCTGAGGTCCCCATGGCTCCATCTGGTCATGCCCGCAGCTCGGCGGGCGAGCCAGGAGGGGTACCCAAGGGTGCTGGAGAGACCCGCCAGCTCTCCCGGTCTCCCGGAGCCCCTCTCCCACTGGGGCTGGGGGACGTGGGGACACCTCCGCTGCGACTGGGGGGACCGTCCCATCCTGCAAGTGGCTGCAGGAGGAGCAGGGATTGGCGATGCTTTGGCACGACGGTGGGGACCACCCATCGTTCGGTCTCCCCGGCAGCCCTCGCTGCCCCCGGGACAGAGCCAGGCAAGCAGCCGCTGCCAAACTTGCTCTGCCAGGGCTGGGCTGGGCACGGACCCTCCTCGCTGGGAGCAGAGGGACGGCCACCTCTGTCCCCAAGGAGGGACCTCCCGGACGGCACCGATCCGGCACGTGTCCCCACGCGGACAGGACACCCCCGACTGGGGGTTGGCGTGTGGCAGAGGGCAGGGTGCTGAGCGGGCTGCAGCTGTGCCAGACCTTGGGCAGAGAAGGCTCCCGGCGCCGCA